TTTGTATGTTTATTGATATCAGCAATCTGCAATAGAAACACAAAACCATAATTTTAAACATTCAAATGTCAAAGTGTATAGTATCACACATTGTATTATAACTAAAATTGATTAGTGAGGGTTTTTATTGGTATAATGTACATGTGAACATTGATTGTACGAAGACACCAGTATACACTAGAGATCACCAATAAGTTATTGTTAGAAACGATATCAGTATAGACTTGCAACATTGAAGAAAGAAAAACAATCAGGGAAGAAAAGTAATTTTAATTTAGCGCCAATGATGAGTCTAAAGAAAACAAAACGCGCGTCTGGTGTACCTAACTAGCAGCCTGATATTTTTTATTCGTTATGTATATCCGGTGCAATGTACATAGAATTCTATATTTAAAATGGGTCCGGCGTGGAAACGTCAATCAACGTTAGCTTATTAATCTTTCAAAATCCTATTATATTAGGTTATAATTTTAACACTGTATCTAGATCTTTATATATTGTTTGACTGGACTAAAATTGAATTTGCTTTCATTAAATTAAACCATAACTAAAAACTGAATCCGCTTGATGTGTAAACAATACAGGAAAATATAATTTGTTTTTTATTTTCAATTGGCTCTAAACCAGCTTTCAGTAACTAGAATTACTCTTAGATCGAATCATCGTGTCTTTCGACTTTTTTTTTCTCTATGTGAGTTATTGTTTCTGTTTTGTGCTGATCGTCTGATGAATACACAAGCCCTAAAAAGAGTTTAACAGTTTCAGAATATATAACGAGATTCGGTATAAATGCCAATGAGACAACTGTCCACAAGCAACTAACTGTGCTTATGTTGTGCTGGTTCTCTAAGGTTAATTGTTTAGTATTTTGTAATATCGGGAATTTTATAGCTTTCTATTTGACATTTCGTATTGCTGAGTGTCTACAGCCGTACGGTGACCGATAGCTGCTCAAATTAATGTCAGTTGGTCTATGGTCTAACGTTATCTTAATGGCAATCATACAATAACCACATGTCCTTTTTTGGCCAAAAAAATAAGAAATATAAACATCTGTGATATACGTCAATTAGATAGCTAATTAAAATCTAGAAACAAACCTTATCACATGTACATATAAAAATGAGAAGATGTGGTATGATTGACAGTGATACAACTCTCCACCAGAAACCAAATGACGTAGAAGCTAACAGCTATAGACACCGTAAGACCGTCAACAACGAGCAAAACCCATACCGCATAGTAAGCTATAAAAGGCCTCAAAATGACAAACTTAAGGTAAACAATTCAAACGAGAAAACCAACGGCCTGATATATATAGAAACCAATCAGGAAACACAAATATGATATATACATGATATAGCAACAAACGAAAACCACTGAATTAGAGACTCCTTACTTGAGAAAGGCACATACAGTATATGATGGGGTCAAATATTTTTATTGTCGCCAAACCCTCGCCCTTACATGGGACAGTGATGTTATCACTAAAAATAATAACACACTATAAAAATCAGCTGAAAAGGGCTTAACTCTTTATATCGACACTAAGCACAAAAACAACTAAGATAAAATACTAAAGACACAAAGTACGGATCTGAGAATATTTGCATTTACATAAATCTAGTTGAATGCCAATAACAACTAACAGAAAATCGTGTATCTCTTAATTTCACTATTGTCGTTTGTTGTATTACAAAGTAAATGATAAGTTATTTGATAGTAGTTAAGAAACTAGTAAAAAACACTAAAAGTTTATTTGTAGAACACTTAATAGATGCCGAGATAAAAAGTTGTTGTACGGTTCTTTTTTCTTGTAGTAAAGGTAACCAATGCATAGTAGGGACCTTCAAATGTTCAGCAGAGGCCTTACGTAGCACTCCACAGTTAGGTGTGTAGTTTCGCATTTTGGCCCTGTGGATTTTTCAAATATGAAAGCTAGTGTGCAATAAAATTCATTTTTGGATAGCTGAAGATAAATATAGCCTTCATAGTGGGTTTATAGGAAAATCAAGATTGTGTAATGTATGTATAATGGGCTGTTTTCTGTATGACAGTCTGTATTTTCATATCCATACCAGACATCGGTCCGGAAATTATTGTAATGTTTTTTTCCACCTTTTTGTCGCACGAACTTTGTGATTACATTTTACGAAAAAATGAGGCAAAAAACACCCAATTTTTATTTGATCATTTGGTAGAATAATGTCAATAGTTTCAGGAAAGGTATCACTCAGACATTGTCAGAGGGATTGAAATTCTAGTTTGAACCAAATTTTGGGGGAATATGTGACATTTTCATGCCCTTTTTGCAATTTTCTATAATAAATAAATGCAGAATAATGCCATGGATTCACAAAAAAGGAATTATATTTTACCATTTTAACTTTTGAAAAACAAATCTAAGGAAGATACTAATTACATACATATGCACATGCATGACACAAACAGTTGACTTAATGTATTAGAAAGCCAGGAATAGAAGATGATTAAACATTTTGTGGTTCAATTTTAATTTTATTTTCTAACTGTAGAGAGCTACCTTATGGCACATCAGAAAGCACAAAATTGCACTTTTTAAGATAAATCTTACAACAAATCTATTGACTGTTAGATTCTTATTTTAGTTCTGAAGGGAAAAAACTTTTAGGATGGCAATACATGTTTATTTTATTGTTTACTGTCCTAAGCAACCAAATATAGACATTTTGATAATAAAGACATGGTTCGGTCTTAATTTGTACTCCATTAGTTTTACCCTTGTTACAAAAGATTGCGCTTTATATGATAGCGTCAGGATTTATCGCTTAATATTTTTGCATGCGAATAAATCAAATAAAAATTTTTAGCAGGATTTTTTGTTATAGTTTGGCATGAATTAAATCTGAAATTGCCACTTCTGTTAGAAATTTATACCCTTTTTGAGAGTTTGTAAACCAAGGTTTAGTATGCTATATACATCAAAATTGACCTATCAGTGCTTTCAAAAAGCTAAATATTGTACAATGGTAATTTTATGATTTTAAACAGAAAATTGGGAAAAGTTTTAGAAATTTAACCAAAAAATGAGACAAACTTGAGGTTTTGCACTTTGATCAAGCATTATTTTTTTTAAATCACTTTTTGTCGCGATTCAACGTCAACTGCTAACTTTCATTAAATATTACTGAACCAATTTTAAAAAATAAGGTACCATATTAATCGTTACAGCTAGCAAAACACAGAAAAATGTATTAAAAGATGAAACAGGGGAACAAAAATTCCTATTAAGGTAGCACTCCACAGTTAGATGTGTAGTTTCGCATTTTGGCCCTTGTGAATTTTTAGATATGAAAGCTAGTGTGCAATAAAATTCATTTTTGGATAGCTGAAGATAAATATAGCCTTCATAGTGGGTTTATAGGAACATCAAGATTGTGTTATGTATGTATTATGGGCTGTTTTCTGTATGACAGTCCGTATTTTCATATCTATACCAGACATTGGTCCGGAAATTATTGTAATGTTTTTTTCCAACTTTTTGTCGCACGAACTTTGTGATTAAATTTGACGAAAAAATGAGACGAAAGACACCTAATTCTTATTTGATCATTTGGTAGAATAATGCAATAGGTTCAGGAAAAGTATCACTCAGAGGGATTGAAATTCTAGTTTAAATACAATTTTGGGGGAATATGTGAAAATTTCATGCCCCCTTTTGCAATATTTTATGGTAAGTAAATGCAGAATGTTGCCATGGATATACAAACTCTGAAAAACAAATCTATGGAAGATACTGATTAATTACATATACACATGTATGACACAAACAGTTGACTTAATGTATTAGAAAGCCAGGAATAGAAGATGATTAAACATTTTGTGGTTCAATTTTAATATAATTTTCTAACTGTGGAGTGCTACCTTAAGCTACGATATGATAATGATAGGATTCATTTCTAAATTAGTTTTAACATAAATTATGATATTCTTATATCCACAATATTCAAGCATTTATTTAAGTAAGAATTAAGAGATTTTCATGTCAGATTTTTCCAGCTAACACAAATTTTTACAATAGGATAAAGCAGCGTCTTTAATGACCTGAAGACACTATTTCCAATCTATCTTAGATAGAGAATGATTCTTTGGTTCCTTTTTCAAACAGTTTAGGTGATGACGTCGCTAAAGTTAAGGGTTATTTTTCGCGACATTGTGGAAAAGATGCATTCTTCGACTGATTTTGATCGTTGGATTGAAAACGAGTACACGGACCCCCGTTTTTTTTAAAATGGCATTTGGTTTGATTATGTATGAAGACTATTTGTACCGATTTTACGAAATCATAGATAAATATTTTTTAAGAATTGTTGCACAAATTTATAGCATAGTTATATGTAAAGAAGATATTCAAAATATGTTTACAAACATTCGCTCGTGGTTATCTTTTGAAACAAAAAAGAAGGGTATGTCTGTCTGAAGGCCAGAAATGTTCAAGAAACCGGAAGTATCAGTTTATGGCTAAAATTACGATCCCATTTATCTCTAAAAGTAACCCATGAATATGTACTTTTTATTGCATATTTTAATTGAAACTATCTTGTTTGTAAATTTTGTAAAAGAAATAACCGTGGGATCAAAACTGTCTTGTATGCCCTTACCAAGTTTTATCAAAAATACAGAGGTAAATTCAAAAGGGGGGAAGTCTGTAACATCTGACAAAATCAAACGCTCGATTATATCAACCAACGGAACGAATGAAAAATAACTGTCATATTCCTGATTTGAAACAGTCAATTCATAACGTAAATTTAAGTTTAAAAAGCCTGAGCCTTGAAAATAAGTGAAATTTTTCTTCCACAAATAGCACATATTCTGCATCTGCTCATTTACGAGAAAAACTTATTGAAAACACCAAACAATGATGAACTCGGATCAAGCCAATTGCCGTTTACCACAAAGTTATACATTTTTACTGACTTATATAATGAACCCTGCTTAAAACTTTTATTATATTTTAGGTGGCCTGATACTATTTTTATTTTTCTGTATACTCAGCTTGACTGATACAATTTCATCAATGTCATTAAAAAGAAGAAAGAAAACAGAAACGAGTTCACACGTGCCTTTATACACAGAATCGCCAGTAACAAGACATTATAACAGCTTGATCGAAAAAAGGAAGGGTTCAATATGTCCTATCTTGCAAGGTGGACTCGGTAATAGATTGTTTCAATTCTCTACTGCGTTTGCTGCTGCAAGGTATAAGAATATGGATCTCATTATACCCTCTGATGCTGAAATCAGCAAAGTTTTTGAAATTAATGAGACATTCAATGAAGCCAAAGAAGTGTGTAAAGGGTTTCGAAAAGTTTTAGATAAAGCTTCTCTAACATTCCATAAAAACTTAATGAACTTTAGCTCAACTGATAATATTCAACTTGGATATGGCCTTCAGTCATGGAAATATTTTTATATGTATGATAAACAGCTTAAGATGCAATTAACATTTAGAAAACATATAAAGAAAAAAGCAAAACAGACGATCGATAAAATACTACAACGACATAATATTAAGTCTCGCAAGAGTGTTAATTTGGTGGGTGTTCATATAAGGCGAGGGGATAGAGTTGGTAATCATGATGGGTTGAACATCGCTACACCAGAGTATTTAAGCAGATCTGTTAACTATTACACTCAAAAATATGAAGCTGTTTTATTTTTAGTTATATCAGATGGGATGTCATGGTCTAAAGAAAATATGCCATCTCATGCCCCAGTAGAATATATATCATTGGGTAAAAGAGAACTTGATATGGCAACTGTAGTTGCCTGTGACCACACAATCATGACAATAGGAACGTTTGGCTGGTGGATCGGCTTCCTAACAGGTGGAGACGTGGTATACGTGAAGGATGCAGCAGCAAAGGGTTCACGATTTGAAAGAATACTAAATTTTGAAGATCATTACTATCCTCACTGGGTAGGGCTTTAGTTAATCCTCATTTTTTACCAATCGCATTTTAAACTTATTTTTGCAAAATCATTATAATGAAATCTTAATGCAACAATCGAAGTGCACAAATTGTAATCACATTAAGTTTTGAAGATTTTATTTATAAAAGTTAAGCCGAAACTGAGTGCCTTCCATCACATAAAACTACTTATAACCTGGTATGTGTTTATTAGCGTCTATTCGTTTTTCGTTTTGAAAAATCAAAAACGAAAAAGAAAAAACGAAAGTGTTTAATTTTTAGTTTTTAAAACCAAATATGAAAAACGAAAGACTTGGTTTTTCGTTTTTAATATCGTAAAACAAAAAAACGAAAAAACTACATGTTTTTACTTTTCGTTTTTTGATAAAAACGAAAAATCGACTAAATTTCTCTTTTCATTTCTGAATATATTTGTCTTTTGTTATGAAAAAACGTTTTCATTTTTTGTTTCATTGTTATTGAGATAGAACAAAGTCAATTTCTTTTAATGTCGAGGGCAATTTTCAATACCGAAGTTATATAAACAAAATAGATCGCCTGACTAACGAATAGAAATAGGTGAATAATGAAACAATGGCTTTCTCAAATTTTATCGTTTTAAGCTCACCGGGGCCCGAAGTGCCCCATGTGAGCTTATGCCATCACTTGGCGTCCGTCGTCGTCTGTCGTCTGTCGTCGTAAACTATTTCAAAAAACTTCTCCTTCAAACTTTAACTGAATGTTCCTTAGTGTATCTAGTTTATAAATTGTATCCGAAGTTTTGATCCATCAACAAACATGGCCGCTGTGACTAAAAATAGCACATAGGGGTCAAGTGCAGTTTTTGGCTTATATCTCAAAAACTAAAGCATTTAGAGCAAATCTGACCAAGTGAAAATGTTCAATATATCAAGATCTATCAGCCCTGAAATTGTCAGACGAATCGAACAACCCATTGTTCGGTTGCTGCCACTAAATTGGTAATTTTAAGGAAATTTTCCCGTTTTTGGTTATTATCTTGAATACTATTAAAGATAAAGATAAACTGTAAACAGCAAAAAATGTTCAGCAAAGTAAGATCTACAAAAAGTTTTATTGTCAATTGGCCCCTTAAGGAGTTATTGCCCTTTATAGACAATTTTACACAATTTGTTCATTATGTTTGCTAACATTTAAAAATCTTCTCCTCTGAAACTACTGGGCCTAATACTTCTAAACTTTAACTGAATGTTCCTTAGGGTAACTGGTTTATAAATTGTATCCGAAGTTTTGATCCATAAACAAACATGGCCGCCATGGCTAAAAATATAACAAATGGGTTAAATGCAGTTTTTGGCTTTTATCTCAAAAACTATAGCAGTTAGAGCAAAAGTTACAGGAGTTTATGTTATTAATAATTTAAGATCTATCTGCTATGAAAATTTCAGAACAATTGGAACACACATCCTTAAGGAGTCATTGCCCTTGAAACGTTTTTTTTTTACATTTTTTCGTGCAAGTCTATTTCTTTTTCAAAAATCTTCTTCTATGAAACTACTGGGCCAAATACTTCCACACTTTAACTGACTGTTTTTTATGGTATCTAGATTATAAATTGTATCCGAGATTTTGATCCATCAATAAACTTGGCCGCAATGGCTAAAAATAGAACATAGGGGACAAAAGCAGTTTTTGGCTTATATCTCAAAAACTACAGCAGTTAGAGCAAAAGTTAAAGAGTGTTAAAATGATAAATGGGTCATGATCTATCTGCTATGAAATTTTTAGACGAGTTCGACAACCCATTGTTGGGTTACTGTTTGAAATAGTTTATTTTTATTACAATTTTACTGTTTTTTGGTTATTTTCTTTGATATTATAATAGATAGAGAGAATGTATAAATGGCAATAAATGTTCAGCTAAGTTAGATCTACAAATAAGTCAACATGATCAAAATAGTCAATTTACCCCTTGAGGAGTTATTGCCCTTAAAACTTTTTTTTTACATTTTTTGTGAAAGTCCAATTACGTTTTCAAAAATCTTCTTCTCTGAAACTACTTTGCCAAATACTTTAGAACTTTAATTGAATGTTCCTTAGGTTATCTAATTTACAGATTGTATTCTGGAATTTGATCCATTCAAAAACATGGCGGAAGTTTCTAAAAATAGAACATAGGGGTCAAATGAAGTTTTTGGCTTTCATCTCCAAAACTAAAGCAGTAAGAGCAAAATTGACATAGGTGAAAGTGTTAAACAGGTTTAGATCTACCTGTCAATTAATCTTCAGACCAATAGGACAACTTTTTGTTGGGTTACTGTTCATAAATAGTTGCTTTTTAGGAAATTTTACAGTTTTGGGTTATGTATTAACTTTAATATTATTATAGAAAGAGAGAAAGTGTAAATGACAAACTTGTTCAGCAAAGATCTAAAAATAAGTCAAATGCCTGAAACTAAAATTACAGACAGGTGAGCGAAATCAGGATCTCATGAGCCTCTTGTTATCTACAAAATGTATAATAGGAAATAAATTTGTAAAATTTAGAACTAAATGAATTAAAAACGTATATAATACAATAAAATATACTAGGAAGAGGGCAAAAATATGTATTTTCTATTGCAATATTGCATAAACAAGGGATGGTGTTATTGATAAGAAAACTGCTCCACCCGTTTAAGTATACAGAACGGTTATCAGTCTGAGATCAATTATATTAAAATCAGAGATAGAGTCAACGAACGAAAAAAACATTATTACGCCCGAAGTGCTTTTCGTGATTTACTTACATGAAGAACGTCAAATGAGGAGGAGAAAACAACATTTAGAGGACGTCCATTTTATAACCTGGGAAGGGGGCAGAAGGGTTTTGTTTTACGTATTTTATTAATTTCACCTGTTGGTACTTTCAAGATTATTTTTTACATATCTACCAGGCCAAAATATTAATTTCCAAAATCCTCCTGCCTTCCCAATTACTCCCAAAAGAATATCAGTTTTCTATAATTTTGAGATCAGGAATCAAATTTTGAAGACCAGAAATTAATTCAGTTATGTTAAGATCTAAGCACTATGTATTGTGTCGTCCATGCATAATAAATTTAGAAATAAGGTTTTACTATTCTGATATTGGGGATTCGCTTGGAAAACACATTATACCTTTGAATAGAATATTGTTAATATAATTTTCAATGTTTGTGATTTTTTAAACAAAAAGTCAGCTATTCGAAAGCATTATACGGTTGTGACCTCGGGCAAAAACTTACCTGCACTACGACACTTATGCTTAAAAGAAGTCATCACTATATTTGTAAACTTAAACAAGGTTTACCAAGACGAACAAGAAGCGATATGTGATTGTCATTGTTATGATGGCTTTCCATAGAAAGTTTTATCTGTGAATGCAGACTGTTATTCTTTGGAAGAACATGTCGCCTTCCATACTCGGCTATCTCATTCCGTATTCTTCTCGGTAGACTCATTGATGATAGGTACAATCAAAATGACAGCAGATTAGGTTTTGCTTGTGGCATTATAGAAATCCTCACAAAACATGATTTATCGAAGTATTTAGATCAATTTCTCAATGATGGACTATTTCCAAGTTCTGCAACATATTGTGTGTGTGTGTGTTTTTTTTTTTTTTTCTTTGTTTTTTTTTTTTTTTTTTTGTGAATGTACTGATTTTGTGTCATGGATGGAAACCCCATTACCTTTGTTTTTCTATTATAGAAGTCGATCGTCAAGTCGTCTATTTATTAGGTTGAAGAAGTAAAATGGCGTCCACGTATGGCACTGGATCCCGATTTTGTTGTTTTCAAAGACATCCAATCGTTCTACCTCAGGAATAGATTACCTTAACTGTATTTGGCAAAACTTTTAGGAATTTTTGGTCCTCAATGCTCTTCAACTTCGTACTTTATTTTGCCTTTTTAACTTTGTTTGATTCGAGCGTCACTGATGAGTCTTTCGTAGACGAAACGCGCGTGTGGCGCAAATTCAAAATTTCAATTCTGGTACCTATAATGAGTATATTTATGAACCGCATGTGGCGTCGAAAGTAGCACTTCGTCGCCCACTGCAAGCTCATTTGGTAACGGCCACGTGTAAACTTACAAAACAACAAATTCTCATGCGATGAATGTGGTAAACTTTTTGATGTTCCTTGTACTCATGTAATACTATCATGTGACTATACAGCTGATGCTCGAGATAGATTTTGGAGCAGCATTATAGACATAACCCCGATTACATTTAGTGTTCACCTAGTAAATATGACTGACAATAAATTGCTAAGTTGCATTCTTGCCTGTGACACGGATTTTGATTTAGAGAATAAGGAACGTGGGCCGTTTAACTTAGTGTGTGTAAGTTTTATCTAAAGATCTTGTGAACTGTTACAGAACTGAAACTGCTAGCAAACCAACTATATTAAAACCTTTTAAGAACATATTTTATCGATTGTACTTTTCGTCGTGATCCCGTTGACAATATCACCGTCGTAAGTAACTTACTCTGTGTAATCATAACTCAGTGTTTTATTGTTTATCTTATTGTATATCTTTGAGTGTAATTGTCTTTGCTTTGTTATGTACTCTCCAATAGGAGTCTAATTAATTATATACAACCCATATTCGACACCGGAAATCAATTAAGAATATATTTTACCTACATAACAGATGTGATTGAAATCCTAGCATAACATTTTCTTCTGAAGAAATCTAACAAAAAATAAGTTAATAACACATTTCTTTTTTTTTTTTTTTCAATTATGGCAGCTACAATCAATTTGGAATAGTTTCATATTCATTTTATTAAATCTTAGCGCTAAAAGACATTTCTCATAACTTGTGACCTTTTTTTTTTTGAATTTACCAACTCCTCGTACCCAACCGAAATAATATTTATTTACTACAAATCATACATAAGATATTTGTAAAAGCATTTTATATTTACATGAACATCTTAATTTTAGTTGAAATAGGATCCAAATAATTGTGAATTTTTAACATAAACTTTGTTTTATTGCCGATCTTTTTCCAATTTCCTCAAAGGTAAATTGTAATACCAGGGAACCTCGTCCAAATAACCCGTTACAGTGCTTTTCGCGCAAGTTATTTCCGGGACGACTGTTGATAAATAATATCTGACATACAAAGACATGACATAGGGTGATCGGTTTATCAATGGTGCAACTGTGCTTTTTAAGCAGTCAAATTGATTCACCGTCTTTTCATTTGTGATATACAGTCACTGACCGTATATCGACTTGTTCATGACGTTGACAGTTGGAAAGCAGGTCACGGTTTGACCCCAAGTCTATCAGCAACAATAGAGTCACGTGACCGTAAAAATTCAGTAAAACTACGGATGAGACAAACCTCACTTTTACTCACTAAAATACCACTGTCATGGTAAAAACTTATTGATCAAAATAATCTTGAATATACATAGTTTGAACTCGTCAAAACTTACACATCAACTCAAAGTCCTTTATTCTTTTTTTTTATCTTCAAACTTGTGTGAAAATTGTCAAGGCTCCTGGTCGAAAAATCTAAATATTTTCGAGGAAACTAAAAATGATGGGCTGAATTTAAATTTAATAAAGCTTCTCATTAAGACAAACACTCGATATGACTATCTAGGCAATACAATTTTGGATACGCAAACGTCAAGTTATGTTCAACACGAAGCGGTGGGGTTTTTTTTTTGCCGATTTGTGCAAGTGGTTATCTCCCCTTGATATCACCAGTCAATAATAAAAACCCACCAAAATGAATAAAAAGGAGTTTATTTTACAAAAATCAAGAAGAAAATAAATGAAAGTCGATTAACAACTATGTGATTATAATATTAAGAAGAGATACTTCCCTACTTTTCAGAGAAGGAGTACAGGTAAAAATTAAAAAAATTGGTAAAAATTAGATCTAGAAACCTACCTACTTTCAGTTTGTAATTTTTATAATGGGATATGGGATCACTCCTAATGGATTTTTTTTTTTAACTACTCCTAACAATTTTTAATGCAATAAAACATACTGTATACAATTTAAATAATCTTTCTAAAAAAAAAAATAGTACTGACCATTTATATTTTACATTTTAATAAAGTGGGACCAAGAGTCACAATTTAATTTCTTCAAAGTAAAAAAGCCTTTTAACTCAAGCCTATGTTTCTTGGTTAAACAGTACAGTACTGCCTAGAAAATATCATACAGAAAAAGGAAAAGTTTACCAAAAAATGACAAAAATTCTGTAAAAAAATAATGCTTAAAATTATAAGTGAAAGTGACATAATTTTGAATTTTAAAATCATTATTATTGTCAAATTCAACTATTATATTAGCTAGCACAGTAGCCCTTGTCCAATTTCTCATGGTATTTTATAGATTATGAAGTAAACTTTTTGAAAAAAAAATGGGGCTTCTTCTCTTCAGGTTGCTGTATCTGCTGCTTTACATATTTATAAACAAAGTATTGTATATTTTACCTGAATAATTGGATATTAATCTCAGATATGAAAGTTGGTATGACAAATCTTGTGCATTTTACTTTAATAATAATCAATGATGATTAAATTTGACAAGAATTTGCCATTTGAATAAATTAAATTTTGTAAGAACACATCTCTATGAATTAATTTCTTGTTTGACTTGAAAAGCTAGTGTTTGCTCTTATTAATGTAGCATACTTAGTAGAGAGATAATTAATAAGCAAGGTTTTTAACTTATAAAATATAAATATAATTAACTGACCTTCATTTCCTTTTTTCATATGTTTTTTCCTCCAGAAATTTTCTTTGCAATGCATTTGCTATTGCTATTTTTGTGCTTTTGTTTATCCAAAGGCCATCATTAATTTGTCATATTTGTTTCCAGTATAAATGAAATGTTCTAATAGACCTATAGTTTCAAACGCCAAAAAGAAGAACTTTGTTTGTTGTTTCACTTGTCCAATGTGTAAATTTTCACCATGCACATGACCCTGACACATATTTTGTAAACGTTATATGACGTATGTTGAAAAAGAAAACAATGTCACCGTCAATACACCTTATCGCTATTTGTCCGCCATTACTGGACATCACACAGGTTCCCGTAAAATTTTGACGGCACAATACAAAATATCTGACGCCACAATGGAAAAGTGATTGTTGTATGACGTCAAAAGTTCAAGCGGGACAGATTCTCGGGTCAGCCGGGAATAGCGATAAGGTGTATTTGTGTAGGGGATCAAAAAGGGTTTTAATTACTTTAAAATGGAGGCATCGTATGGAATTGTGAAAAACAACAATTTTAATCACAATTTCATTCATATCTATAACAAAGTCAGTATTTTAGAGTACTTTGGAAACAGGTACAATGAAAAGAAGTTGAACTTTACCAGTGGGAAAGCCAGTGACATTGACGAGTACCTTCCGGTGGTCACGCGGGAAAGGGGACATAATCTAAATTTCGAGGTGGCGCTGTAATCAGCGTGTAAACAAAAACGTAGCATATGATTCAGACAATAAATTTACCAAAACGACTTATCATCCAACAGTATTTGCGGTCTAATCTTCATCAGAATAGATTTTGTCACACGACTGTCAAAAATATATTAAAATAAGTGCTTCGTTATTGAAATATGATAAATCAAAAGACTACCTCCGTTGATTTCCAAAAAACCGCGGATAATACCCCCGTCTGAAAATAACTGACACAATTGCATCCTAAAGCTTTTCATTGGTTGAGATATAAATAAATGTGACCCAGAAACATATGGGCACATGACTATGTAAAGAATTCCCCGTCACTTCGAGTCTTGTTTACATAATAATACCTCAAACGGAGGTCAAAATTCAACATTTTTCTAACGTTTTTGGCGTTATTTCATTGCAAAATGGAGCAAATGATGTCAGTTTTACCAGTTTTTAACCACGAAATTGATTCAGACAATGAAGTGTGATGATGTTTCCTGGATTTTTAATATGTTTTACATAAAAATGTTGATAGGTTGAAGGCTTTACTCCGTCATTTGTTGATTTTTTTCATGTTGCTCAGACTCCTTGTTTCAATAATTTTCGGCATTTATTTAATTACGCTGCAGTGTATAACAGATTTATGTAGTACATTGAAACTGGTTTATTCTATGAATGAATTTGTGCATATAAATGACTTCAGTTGTCTGGAAGCCCCCCCCCCCCCCCTTTTCCCACTTTCAAGAAATTTCAGTTGGGCAAAAAATATTGTCTGAATGAGAAGCTTGCACAAATGCAAAGTGTAAACACTCAGCTAATGTTTGTTTTAAAACATTTTTTTTAGTCTAATGATTACAGTCATTCTTTGTTTCTGTAAATATTTACCTGAAATGTGTCAACTTGTCAATTTTAAAAGATTAAAAGTATCAAACAACAAATATTGCCTGCCTGCCACTGTGACATGAAAATCTGATGAGTCAATAATTTTCACTTAATTTTTAGTCTTTGTTCTTATTCATAAATAAAAATACTATGCAAGTGGGAAGTTAACACACAAACATTTGTATTTTGCCTGTACTTATCAAGGAACCTGTTGTACACTAACCATTCATGTTTAAGTGTGTCTGGGCCCTGGTAACAAATATTTGTCATTGTGTTTTCAAAGTTTGTGCATGTTCTTAAAGAATTGTTTTGAAAAAGTTTCGTGGCCATTCATCAAATTTGTTTCTTCCATATATATATATATAGTAGCTGTATTTATTTTATCATTAGTTCTGGATTTAGAATTTTTATCACATGCTGTTATATAAGGTCCTTTATTCTTGACAAATTGGTTTGCAAATTGTTGAAAGCTAAAACTGTTACCTATGATTATCATCCTCTATCAATTGTCAATCATGTCAATATGTGTTTCTTTTAAAAACAACTTTTCCCAAGGAAAAACTAAAGTTGAAAAAAATAGTTCAACCCAGATATGCTGCTGCTGAAGAAATTAACATTAACAATGGTATTTTTCAAATAGAGCATTCATTAATTATACTATTCCTTCATTGAAAATGAAAGAAAAATATTTTAAATTGAATGCATCCAAGGGCTTTCCTGGATTAACCAACAGGTATGCTCAATGCCTAGTACATACAAGTCTTAATACAAGTGAGAGCTATATGACCATTAAGAGCATTAAAAAAAGCTATATTGCTTCTGAGGTCTACTTTGAAGATGGTATGTGAATGTCTCACTCTGATTTTGGTGATCCTGTTTTGTTGCGTTGATATTAATGTTCGACCCACGACTTTTATTTTACACTAATCTTTTTCGTGGTCTATCATGATGGAAATTTTAGGTACTGTAAAATCAGAAAGGATAGCAAAGTTTTTATTGCTGCAATAATGTGAGTGGGTGAGTATCTAAATAATAAATTGCATTCTGATACCTTTTAATCTGATAAAAATGCAAATCCTGTGTCCAAGCTTATTACAATAAAACTAAGCTTCTGTGTGCTGATTTTTCTGCAAATGCAATGCTTTTTCACACATTTTATTCCATTCTTCAAATTTGCAAAAATAAAAGCACACAAT